CCTAGTGCTGCCCGTCACCTGCGCCGGTCAAGGAAGTCGTGGCGCCTTCTGACAACAGCGGATCGGGGGTGAACAAAGGAGAGGTGCACGTGTAACATATCGGACATTTGCACACCAGGTGGGTGTTCCTATCTTGCGGCACGAGATGTCGTTCTCGTTTCCGCGAGCGCGGAAGACATTCGCCTGGCCTCTGTTGTTAGCCCGCACGATGAAAGGCAGTGCAGTCAACCCGCATAGTCAGGATGGGCAACTTTCCCACGCTTGCATCCTTGCCCTTTCGGCCCATCCTTAGCGACGTTCGCTGGGCATCCATGTCCGAAAAACGTCAACATCGCCTTTTAAGGCCCTTGCATCGTTACCGCGCATCCTTACTATACGGGCTGACTGTGATCGTGAGCCTCTCTCCATCGGCTCGGCCGCTTGCGCAGGGGCCCCCGAAGAAGCCGCGCGCCGGGGGCCGCACTCCTCTCAGATGCCCTCTCCCGCCCTTCAGCCCAGAATCGGAGGCCTAGAGGTTGACATCAACACCAATATCGGCGTTGTGCCTCCACCGAGGGAAGAGTATCCCAATTTCGGTGATGGTGGTAATATTCTGGCCTCCTGGGCGGCCGAAACATTACCACCAACACCGAAATCTAGGATCACCTTCCCCTGGTGGAGGCAACCCCCTGTGTTGGTGTTGGTGTCAATTTCCAAGCCTCCAACAGAAGCTGGCGCGGAGGAGCTGGCCCAGGCCGCGGCCGGCGGCTGCCGCCCCGAGTTCCGCGCGAGGGGCGGCCCCTCCGGACGCGGCCAGGGCAGGGGAACGAGCAGTGACATGATCGGGGCCCCCAAACGGGGTGGTGACCACTCCGTGCGGTGAGTCGGTGGGGATTCGGGGTCACCGCACGTGTCTGGGGCTCGTGTCGTTCTCCGAGGACGTCTCTCGGCGACTGGGGCCTCCGAGGTCCCAAGGCCCGTGGCGGTGGCGGGCCGTGCGGTGAGGTCTTGGGGCGGCCCTCCGAGGCGGGAATCTATCCGGATCCACCGCCTGGAGGGTCACCGCCCGCTGGGGCACCAGGACGTCGGTTAGGGGGCCACGTGGGAACCCTACCCCTACCCCCCACGATTTCTGAGGGGGAGGGTGGGGTTCACTTCGCTCGGGAGCTCCCGAGCGAAGTGAGCCCCACCCTGCCCCTCAGAAATCGTGTGGGGTAGGGGTAGGGTTCGCATGCGGTCCCCTATCGGTTCCCAGGCGGTGGATATGAATAACTCCCCGCCTCGCAGGCCCCTCTGGACGCGGCTGGGGCAGGGAAACGAGCGGCGACATAAACATAAAAACTCGGAGGCCGTCGCCGTTTTCTCGGATCGGCGCTGGGTTCCCCCTCCCTTGAAGTCTGGCCTGTCCCTCTGCAGGGGGACTATTGAAAAATGGAAGACGAAATTCAGAGGAGCATGAAGTATTGATATTGATAGTTTCCCAGATTTCCAGGTTTTCCTGTTCTTCCGCGCGGGCTCCAGGGACGAATGGTCGAGCGCATTACGTCGCGCAGGTTCTTTGCGTGATATTCGCGGTGCATTTTTCGCGCATCGGAGCGCCCTCGAAGATTCCAAGCTGCATGTTGTGTTGCTCTTGGGATGTCCGCGAGTCGCAGCTGCCGTGGCGCTGTTTTCGAGGTAGCCCCTTCGAGTGCTGTTCGCGCGCGCAACGCGCGGCGCGCGCTGCGCCCAATCGCGCGCGGCGCGGCGCGTGAATCAGCCGGCCGCGCCCTTCGGACCGCCCGGACATTATGTCTGGATTGTAGAATGTGTCAGAAAACGCTTCCGTTTTTTTTTGTTTTTTGCGCAGGCGGTTCCGAAATTTTTGAAAGAAGGAGCCCGGACATGTTCAACAAACACAGTTCTGAGGGGTGGAATGCGCCCGCCGCGCAGGAAATATGAAGAATTCTGAACTCCGAAATTTTTCAAAATGGCTTCCAGAATTTTTCAAAATCGAGCCCAGAATTTGTCAAAAACGATTCTGGCATGTTTCAAAAAATGGCCAGACATGTTGAAACACGTTCCCAGATTTGTTCATCTATACCCCCGGAGAATTTTCCAGAGTCGCGCGTGATTTGCTTTGCCAGGTCTTTGGAAATCCGCCGAGGCGCGCGGTGCGCGGCGGCGGGCGATGGCCCGGTGCGCCACCGTCCCCCCCGCGCTCGGCAACGAGGAGGGGGGTCAGCAAGTGCCGAACAGCACCTTGCGGGCGACCGCTCGATTGCGAATGGGTGACCGACCATCGGCGCCAGCCAGAGTCGACAATACTCGACGCAAAGTGCATTCCGCGCGAAGGCTGTTAGAAATCCCGGAATCTCCGGAACGTATCAAAACCACGCTGTGCCAATATATTCTTTTCGTCATAGAAATAGTCGGGGGACTACTTGCTGAGTATTTTTGAGCATTTCGGGGGGTATTTTTCCCAACCATCCTGTGGTGTTTGGCTCTCGTTTGGAAGAGACGGTCCCCGCGTTCCCTCCCTCCTTCCTTCCTTCCTCCTCCCTCCTCCTCCTCCTCCTCCTTTTCCTCCT